GAGAGACTAAGAGAGAGAGAGAGAAAAAAAAATAGAGAACCAGACAGGGAGAGAGAAAAAAAGCTGCAAAAGGTCATGACCTTTATACCGCTAGTCCTTGGCATAGTTGATATTCGAGGTGTATTACAGACGTGAAATGACACGGATGAAGGTGGCATTAATGATGATGATAACGATGATAAAAATTCAAGTTAGCATGACACTGATAATTATGATAATGATGAGAATAGCAAGCAGGGTAGGAGCAGATATAAGAAAACTATTACTATCACAATTACTACTATTCAGTTACTACTATTGTGGTAACTGGCAATGCTACTACTACTACTATTCCTACTACAACTTATTGATAATAACAACAATAGCAGTCATAAGAATTATAATGATAATAAGAATTACCTTGATAAGGATAATAATTATGCTAATGCTAATAACGCTTATTATAATGATAAGGGAAAAGAGTATAGACGGAAGGTAGAGATTTAAGTGAATATAAGAATGGACATATTCTGTAGATGTGTTACATAGATAGAAGGAGAATAAGAGAGGCCAGTTAAATACCATCTATCTTTATCTATTTCTCGACTTATTCATATATTCATCTATGCATTAATTTATTTAGAAAGATGGGTGGCAGGAGAGAGAGAGGGGAAAGAGAAGAAGAGGAAGAGAAGGAGGAGAAAGGGGGAGGGGTAAGAAGGGGGGAGAAAGATGGAGAGAAACAGGAAGAGAAATGAGGAGAAGAAAGAATGGAGTTAAGAGGCGGGGATTAAAAGTAGGGGATCGAAAAGAGGAGAGGAAGAAGGGGGAATGAATGGTAGAGAGACAGAGAGAGAGAGAGAGAGAGAGAGAGAGAGAGAGAGAGAGAGAGAGAGAGAGAGAGAGAGAGAGAGAGAGAGAGAGAGAGAGAGAGAGAGAGAGAGAAGAGAACAGGAACGGAAACCGTGGACAGGAGGGGGGGGAGGGGGGGATCCGGCGTGACTGGTTGCGTGACGTCACCGACACATGACACCCGACACGAGCAACAAATTCTCGCCATATTGCCTTATGAACGAATCCGGTAAAGGCGAAAGTAGAAAAATTAAAGACTGAAGACGTCAGATATGCAGTTGCTTTAGCGTTGATATCTGGAACCTGTAAAGTTTATCTAATCTACTGTCAATATTTTGTTATTATCAT